TTTCTTAAAATTCATGCGCAAAAATTCTGTGACTTTTTAAACGAAACTATTTGAGTTTTAACTTACTTCAAATGTTGAAGTATATTCAATTCCTGCTTTTAATTACGTTTCTTCCTACTCTCTATCCTTCTTCATCTATTAATCTTTTCTTATTTCTCTTGTTTACATTTTAATTGTTCATTTCGCCTCTTGCTTGTCCACTTCTCCACTTGCGTGTCCATTTCGCCTCTTGCTTGTCCACTTCTCCACTTACGTGTCCATTTCGCCTCTTGCTTGTCCATTTCGCCTCTTGCTTGTCCACTTCTCCACTTGCGTGTCCATTTCGCCTCTTGCTTGTCCATTTCGCCTCTTGCTTGTCCACTTCTCCACTTCGTGTCCATTTGCTCTTGCTTGTCCATTTCGCCTTTCTTGCTTCTCCACTTGCGTGTCCATTTCGCCTCTTGCTTGTCCATTTCGCCTCTTGCTTGTCCACTTCTCCACTTGCGTGTTCATTTCGCCTCTTGCTTGTCCATTTCGCCTCTTGCTTTCTCCACTTGCGTGTTCATTTCGCCTCTTGCTTGTCCATTTCGCCTCTTGCTTGTCCACTTCTCCCTTGCGTGTTCATTTCGCCTCTTGCTTGTCCATTTCGCCTCTTGCTTGTCCACTTCTCCACTTTTCCATTTCGCCTCTTGCTTGTCCATTGTCCACTTCGTGTCCATTTTCGCCTCTTGCTTGTTCGCCTCTTGCTTGTCCCTTCTCTTGCTTGTCCATTTCGCCTCTTGCTTGTCCATTTCGCCTCTTGCTTGTCCACTTCATTTCTTGCGTGTTCATTTCGCCTCTTGCTTGTCCATTTCGCCTCTTGCTTGTCCACTTCTCCACTTGCGTGTCCATTTCGCCTCTTGCTTGTCCACTTCTCCACTTACGTGTCCATTTCTCTTGCTTACGTGTCCATTTGCCTCTTGCTTGTCCACTTCTTTACGTCCATTTCGCCTCTTGCTTGTCCATTTCGCCTCTTGCTTGTCCACTTCTCCACTTACGTGTCCATTTCGCCTTTGCTTGTCCACTTCTCCACTTGCGTGTCCATTTCGCCTCTTGCGTGTCCATTTCGCCTCTTGCTTGTCCACTTCTCCACTTGCGTGTCCACTTCTCCACTTGCTTGTCCATTTCGCCTCTTGCTTGTCCACTTCTCCACTTGCGTGTTCATTTCGCCTCTTGCTTGTCCATTTCGCCTCTTGCTTGTCCACTTCTCCACTTGCGTGTCCATTTCGCCTCTTGCTTGTCCATTTCGCCTCTTGCTTGTCCACTTCTCCACTTGCGTGTTCATTTCGCCTCTTGCTTGTCCATTTCGCCTCTTGTTTGTCCACTTCTCCACTTGCGTGTCCATTTCGCCTCTTCTTGTCCATTTCTCCACTTGCGTGTGTCCATTCTTGCTTGTCCATTTCGCCTCTTGCTTGTCCACTTCTCCACTTGCGTGTCCATTTCGCCTCTTGCTTGTCCATTTCGCCTCTTGCTTGTCCACTTCTCCACTTGCGTGTCCATTTCGCCCTCTTGTCCATTTCGCCTCTTGCTTGTCCACTTCTCTTGCGTGTCCATTTCGCCTCTTGCTTGTCCATTTCGCCTCTTGCTTGTCCACTTCTCCACTTGCGTGTTCATTTCGCCTCTTGCTTGTCCATTTCGCCTCTTGCTTGTCCACTTCTCCACTTGCGTGTTCATTTCGCCTCTTGCTTCTCCATTTCGCCTCTTGCTTGTCCACTTCTCCACTTGCGTGTTCATTTCGCCTCTTGCTTGTCCATTTCGCCTCTTGCTTGTCCACTTCTCCACTTGCGTGTCCACTTCTCCACTTGCGTGTCCATTTCGCCTCTTGCTTGTCCATTTCGCCTCTTGCTTGTCCACTTCTCCACTTGCGTGTTCATTTCGCCTCTTGCTTGTCCATTTCGCCTCTTACTTGTCCACTTCTCCACTTACGTGTTCATTTCGCCTCTTACTTGTCCACTTCTCCACTTACGTGTTCATTTCGCCTCTTGCTTGTCCACTTCTCCACTTACGTGTTCATTTCGCCTCTTGCTTGTCCACTTCTCCACTTGCGTGTCCATTTCTTCTCTTACAAGCCCTTTTCTCAACTTACATACCTGTTCTCCACTGAAATGTACGTTTCTCCTCTTACTTGTACGTTTCTCCTCTTACTTGTACGTTTCTCCTCTTACTTGTCCGTTTCTTCCTTTTCTAGACGTGGGTAATCATGGCTCGCCACAACTTCCTATCCTTTGTTACTCTTAGCAAATTTGCCCCTCTAATATTCCCCCCCCATTCCCAATTCTTCATTTGGACGAGTTCCTGATTTATGTTACTCACTTTTTCTCCTCTGTCTTCACTATGTCCTGTGACCGCCAAATACTCCAAGCCACCTTCCTCATTACGTGTCCCCACAAAAGTATGTTTGTTTTTGTTTATCTTTTTCTGAAAACTTAATCATTGCTGACATTTTCCCTCAAGATTATTACCAAGATCTTCTGTAGAAACACGTTGCTTAAAGTCCCTCTTCATCTTTGAAGGAATTGTCCAGCATTCTCTGCCGTATACGAGGATTAACATTGCGTAGTAGTCCACCACTCTTAAATGTGTTTCTAACGAATTGTCCATGTTTTTTTAATAAACGTTTAAAAGATATCTTTCGCCATCGGATTTCAGTGTCCTATTTTATAAAAAATTCCACATACTTAAATTTATGTGCTTGCTTTATTTTGACGTCTCCAATTTATAACTCGAAGATTTCCCCTTTTGCTAACTAGCAATAATTCTGTTTTCATATAATTGATTGTTAGACCATTCTTCCCAATTTATTTTCCTATTTTGTTCAGAAGTTCGTGCAGCAGATTTCCTCCAGTCTATGGTACCAACACTGTGTCATCTGCTTATGTCGTTTAGATTGAACCCATGAATAATAGATCGTCGTAGGACTTCCAGGTTTCTTAGGATTTCCTCACTGCAAACGTTAAATTTGTTAGTTATTGGCAAAGACCAAAAATTGATTTTTTTTAATATAGGAAAATTCTTATAAAAAGAAATGTCTTTATTATATTGTGTATTATATTATACGAGTATTCATATCCAGTTATCATAAGATACTGTTTCTTCTGATACAATACATCGCTTCACTTGGCACAATTTAGATGAATTGATGGCCAAAGTTATGATAGAATACCAGGCGAACGCCATAGATAAAAGGAGAATACACAAATAATTTTTTTTTTATCGCCAGACACTTTACCCAGTCATACAATACAAAAAAGAGAGATTAAGCCAACACTATAAGATCAGCAAGGTTCGATTTAACACAGAATTTGCATACTTTCATTTTAAAGATATCATCCACAAAAGGCCAAGTTGGTACAATAAATTTAATGAGGTGTTATAAGCGGCCCTGAAAGTCGTCATTGAGTAGCGGACGTTTGAAGCCGTTGCCGCTTACAGCAGCCACAAACAGCCTGCGGCTAGCTCCCATTTTTAGCTTCACAATTGATGAGACCGAGGCTCGAAGCTTTGAACAGCATCAGAAATATCTATCAGATCAATAGCCAATGATTAGTTTACGAAAGTTCTTTTTTATACATATGTTTTCACATTTCTTTTACTTATTTTTTAATGTCTGTCAGAGACTATGTTAGTCGAGATCTCCAGGGGAGGGCCATAGAAATCTATACCAGTTGCAGTCATTGCTTTTGAGTTGAACATAAAAAAATTGTTTCCTTACGTCTATGCATCCGTGTGTGTCTCTGTCTGTACCTGAGTCTGTTTACGAATTTAAGATTTTTACCGGCAAACGGATTTTTGCTCTCCTCTTTTGGGGCTGTCAGACAGAACCATCCACCCCACTTTGTACCTAAAAAAGAAAAACAAATGGTATTTTTACTAAAAAAAAGGTACATATATAAATCAGTCAATGCCAGTGAGGAATGAAGAGGAAAGACAGAAAAGTACAGAATTGGTTAAAAAGGTCATGTGTCATGTGTTCCCGTTAGTAAAGACTACTCTCCACATTTTCTTTCTTATATTTCATTCTGTTCACCACCACATTCACTGACACTTTTCTTCATATACCAATTTTTTATTACTCCCCTCTTGACGTATAACTCGCAGCCGTCCCACCTGTCTCTAGATACAGCAATCTCTATCATATATATATATATATATATATATATATATATATGCGTATGTGTCTGTGTGTGATTTACCATATGTCATTGTTTTTATGTAGATAGATAGAGACGAACAAATTGAGATAGAAATGCAGAGATTTAGATAGATAGAAAAGAACAGACTGAGATAGAAATTATTAGACAGAAATGAACAGAGAGAGAAGGTTAGAAATAAATAGACTGAGATAGTAATGAATAGACTGAGATAAATAGAAAGATAGAAATGAACAGAGTGAGATAGGTAAAAATGAATAGACTAAGATAGAAATGGATAAACTGAGAGAGAAATTAATAGATAGAAATGAACAGACTGAGATCAATAGTTAGAAATGGATAGACTGAGTTAGATAGTTAGTAATGAAGATAGATAGATAGAAATGAACAGACGAAGTTAGATAGAAATGAATAGATAGATAGATAGATAGAAATGAACAGACGAAGTTAGATAGAAATGAATAGATAGATAGATAGATAGAAATGAACAGACGAAGTTAGATAGAAATGAATAGATAGATAGATAGAAATGAACAGACGAAGTTAGATAGAAATGAATAGATAGATAGATAGATAGATAGAAATGAACAGACGAAGTTAGATAGAAATGAATAGATAGATAGATAGAAATGAACAGACGAAGTTAGATAGAAATGAATAGATAGATAGATAGATAGAAATGAACAGACGAAGTTAGATAGAAATGAATAGATAGATAGATAGAAATGAACAGACGAAGTTAGATAGAAATGAATAGATAGATAGATAGATAGAAATGAACAGACGAAGTTAGATAGAAATGAATAGATAGATAGAAATGAACAGACGAAGTTAGATAGAAATGAATAGATAGATAGATAGATAGAAATGAACAGACGAAGTTAGATAGAAATGAATAGATAGATAGATAGATAGAAATGAACAGACGAAGTTAGATAGAAATGAATAGATAGATAGATAGATAGAAATGAACAGATAGATAGATAGATAGAAATGAACAGACAGATAGACAGAAATGAACAGACTTAGATAGCTAGCTAGATAGATAGAAAAGAACAGATTTAGATAGCTAGCTAGCTAGATAGAAAAGAACAGATTTAGATAGCTAGCTAGATAGATAGAAAAGAACAGATTTAGATAGCTAGATAGATAGATAGAAAAGAACAGATTTAGATAGCTAGCTAGCTAGATAGAAAAGAACAGATTTAGATAGCTAGCTAGCTAGATAGAAAAGAACAGATTTAGATAGCTAGCTAGATAGATAGAAAAGAACAGACTTAGATGGCTAGATAGAAATGAACAGACTTAGATAGCTAGAAATGAACAGACTTAGATAGATAGATAGATAAATAGATAGAAATGAACAGATTTAGATAGAAAGAAACAGACGTAGTTAGATAGAAATGAACAGACGTAGTTAGAGATGAACAGTCTGCGTTAGATATGAAATATGATAGATCTTTGGACACGTGATAACTGAAAATTTGAAAATTCCAAAATTTGTTCATCTCACATTTTCCATTGCATTTCCCGTCTCTTTTGAATTTTACTCCTGCCTCATAATCACTCCATTAGAAAATAAATTTCAAAGTTTACTTAGATTTTCCCTTATATCTGAAGAGACCATTTCATGCTATAACTTCCCGGAATATTTGGGTACCTTTACGTGCATATATATATAATGAAAGATAGCACAAAAGATGAGAGATATAACAGACCGGGAAATAAATCCTATCTACATATAACCAGAAGATTAGAAATATCCTCGGGTCAAGCTAATCGATTAAGCTTAAAGGAAGAGGAAAACAACTTGCAAAAAGACTGGGAAAGGCAAAGTAGGTCAGAATCATGAATAATTTCTTAAGTGCTCTACGAAATTACGAAACTCTTTCCAATGTTACACGTTTCCAGTACGCAGAGAATTTCGAATGACACTTCCCAATGGAACACCAACTATTATTCTTTAATATTATTAGTAATAAATATAATAATAGTAATACATTTTGTGCAAAGAGGCAAAGATTTGGTTCCGCTGAGGTTATTTCTTAAACGTTGCATTACTGGAAAAAAAAAAAAAAACAACTAAATAATGTCTTTGTAAAGAAAGGAACGAAACCGACTGACATGTTAAATGTGAAAGCAATAAGAGATAAGAAATGGGGTATCAAACAAGGCATGATTTAGGAGGGGGGGTCATATTACCGTCCCTACTCAATCAGGCCTTGTTTAATACTACATGTAGAAAAAAGATTTTACAAAATATTCTACGTTTCAGGTTTCGTTCCTGGAAAAGGCTCATAATGTGTCGTGATCAGTGTATTTAGTGGTATTCGCAAATTGCTTAGAATATCTAACAAGGTTGTAATCTAGACTACTACAGTTTCTTGTTTAATTCTTTCTTGTAACTTCATGTAGATATTTTATATTGTACAATTCTGAGATGTAAATCGGCTAAACCCTCAATGTTTTTATCTATAGTTATATATATATATATATATATATATATATATACACACACGTGTATATATATATATATATATATATATATATATAGCACACAACCACACAAAAAATAGAATAACATCGAAAAACATAAGGAAAATTAATCTATTTTAATAAACTGTGGAAATATCCGCTATTTGCCTGAGGAAGGTCGCGAAACCGAAACGCGTGTTGTAAAATTATGGAAAATAAAGCCTAATATATATTTTAAAAAAGATACGTTACAACCAATAAATTCTTTTTAATATATACGCTTTTCTCTTGTTGGAACAATTATAACCTTTTCTTTTGGCCGTCACATTCAATGAAACACATACAAATATATACCTACACACACACACACACACATACACACACATATATATATATATATATATATATATATATAATGTGTTTGTGTGTGTTGTATATTGTATGGTGTATATCATAGATATTTTATAACTTTGACTGACAAGGTCCGTATACTTTGGTAATATTCTTCAAATTTATTTTTGTCTATTGTTATGGCAACAAATCCGATTCTCAGGATTTTCTCTTCGTTTTCTATGGTTAGATCTTATTAATGGTCGGATTTGCTCATGAAATACGAAGCTTCTTCTGTTTTTACCGCAGCGTCTAGTGTTATACACATTGCGCTTTTTTATATTCCTTAAACTGGAATAGTTCGTTATTTTTTACAAAGTACTGATGCTCCCGCCAAATCATATCTACGTTTCACTAGCCTAGCCTTCCAAAACGATATCTTACTACTACTACTACTACTACTAATAATAATAATAATAATAATAATAATAATAATGGTAGAAATCTTCAAAGTAGTTTAGGCCTATTTGACTAGAAAAATAGCATTCGAAATAATGGCTTTCGCCCATTCACGCCCGCTACATAATCATTTGTAGCAAAGCACTCTTTTCTTTCCTGTTAGTCCGAAAGCCATAGTGTTAAACGTCCATCTAATCTGCTCTATGCCAGTGAATGCTGGACATTATCTTTTCATATGAACAAGGGATTTGAAACGACTTATGAATGCGGAGAATACTACGGACATGGCAGGAAAAAATTTTGGGGAAAATAAGAACAAAAAGTTAATTTTTATACTTACAACCAGAACTGTATCCGTCTATATTTAAGGACACATGACACAGTGGATAAATGCGTTGATTAGATCCAGTGACAGGACTCAAAGGTTGTGAGTTCTATACATGGTTAAGGTGGTGGAAACTTGGAAAGGGGAATTAACAGGAGATAACGGATTAACTGGCATCCATTTGACATGGCACGTGGAAGAAGAACAGTCTACCCCAGTGAGCGAAATAGAGGGTTCAGTTCGACATTCCAACCACCTGAAGAAGGCCGGAGCGTACAACGACCGAAACGTTGTGATAAATATGGAAACAAAGATGAGGAAAAAAAGTCCGAATAATGTAAATAGTGTTAGAACAAGAAATAGATGTAATTCTAGGTTAACTAGTGAGGGCATGGAAAAACTAAGACCCAGAAAACATACTGAAAGCAATAGAATTATGGGAAAAAACTAGGGTTAATCGACTTAAAAAGGCTTTGAATGCATGACAGAACAAGGATAAACGATGATGGTAAAGAGTTAAAAGTTAATGAAAACAATAAAAGACAAGAAATTGTGGAGAGCCATGATCGACCAGTTCCGGAAGAGTATTCGCCGCGCATAAGAAGCTAATTACTTTTGGAAGTGGAAAATATACCAAACTTGCTCTTGAAAAGAACCTAGCTACTTGCCTGCCTCGGTAATCTGCATTGGAATTTAAAAAAAAAAAAATGATATTCTAACGCAGTCTGTTAATGGCCATTTCAGAGATAGGTCGAATTATAGTGTGAACCTGGGATTGATTTATTTTGCTATATTTTTAGCATAAAGTTCATCACCAAATTTCTCCAGTCAACAATAGATTAGAATATTGTTGTGTTTTCAATTCGAACGAAATGTTTCTATAACGTGTGATATCATGAATACGATTTATTCAACAACTGCATTTTACATCCAACCTAATGTTTCCATAGTGACATCGTCAAATTTTAGGGAAAGGATAATAATAAAGACATAATCCCACTTGAAAAACCGACGTAGAGAGCATTTGATGCTCTTATATAAGCTCTGATTATTCTGATTGCTCTCTCTTGACAGTAACCATATGTTTCCTTGAATGTTGTCTTTGGCTTCTTGCGGTCTATCGGCAATTCCTCAGGCGCCCGATTCTGCATCATAGACTGAATGAACGACTGATCACTTTCTTAAGGTCCATTCTATTCGCATTATTTCAAGGAGGAGACACAGTAATAATAACAGCATATTTTCATAGGGAAAGCGAGAGGGAGGTTAAGAGTATGTGCATAAGCAGTTTAACCTGGATTCACAATGTGGTGGTTTGTCATTGCTGAAGCCACTGCAAACCAAAGAAACTGGGAGCAAACAAGCGTCTCCACTCTTCGGCCGCTACCATCGTACAGCCTTCCTAAGATTTCTGCATTATATTAAAACTTTTAAAAAATCCATCTGTTTGGGTCATCAAAATAAGTCTACGTATTTGGCAACATATACTCCACTTTTTCCCCTGAATTCGATCATTTTATCAGCAAATTAAATATTTTTTGTGATAAAGGAATATTTGATGAATAAATACTAAATATTGCCATTTATTTTCGCAACTTTCGACACATAATTTGTATGATGTGTTTTGAAGCTCAAAAAATGGACTTTGTGTCATGAATTAATGATTTCTCAGAGAAATATGTTGCAAATGACTTTATTATATGAAGGCATGAAAATCAGGAATTACTGTTAAAATTTTGTTTGATTGGCTGTTTGATTCTAAGACGGGTGAAAACTTTCTTGGGTTATTCCATATCAAATTTTGTATGTGTCACCCAGTTAGGAACAAATTCTATTCTCAATAGAAATGGCCAATTCTAATTGCCACCGAAATATTACTCAATGCTGACACGGCTTAAAAAAAAAATTATATATATATATATATATATATATATATATATATATATATATATATTGTAACAGCAAAATTGTCCAAATCGTATAAAAGCAAAATTGTCTATTTGTTTGATTATGGTTTGAACCATTGGATATTAGAAATGATTAAATATATCTTACTGGAATTCTCCGAGGTTTTTATAATACTATTGAATTCAACTTTTTTCAATAAGAAGGTTTACTTACTCCAAGGTTAACAGAAGAAGCGTGATGAAATCTATACATATATAAAGGTCATTTTTTTATGTGGATGTGTCCGGCTAAAACAAAAAAAAAACTCTAGTAATTAACGAAAAAATAAATATATATACAGACACAGTATCACCCAATTCACCTTTTGGGAAAAATATCATCGTATGATTTGTATTTACGAAGATATTTTAAAATTAAAAATACGTAATAATTGTATTGGAATGCATTCAAAATTCTTAGAAAAAAAAGTAAAAACGAACGGGAATAAATCTTATTTCCATTCATTTTTACTTATTAATTCTGCTTATAATTTCGAAACGCTATATTTTTCACATTTCTATTCTCTTTAATTTATTTCTATATCTATAGTAAATAAAAAGCGTATATATATATATATATATATATATATATATATATATATATATATATATTATAAATTAATTGATTTTTAATATGGTTTTTTCCGCTACACAGTTCTTACCATGTTTCAAAAATGGAAGGTCCGAATTTAATTTTGTAATTAAATTAAAGACATTAGTTCCATTTCATCCTCAAGCGAATTTTAGAGTAACTTTTAAAATTACTGGGTTTTAAAGACACAGCTAAAATCATAATTCACGTTTCCAAGGTTACAGATAAATTCACTTCCACTAGACAAGGGGAGTCTGCGTGTTCATTATGGCTTTATTTTGTTGAATCAGTTATTAGTTACGTTTTGGTATTGGTTAGGGATGTATTCTTCCATGAAATCTGACATCCGTTAAATGCATGTCGTCTGGATTTTTAAAAATTTTATCGTTAACGGCAAAATTCTTACGGCATTTTTTCTATTTGTATATTTAAAGATTTTTGGCGGAGTGTTCAGATTAAAATACGTTTTATCTAACTACGATTTGAAAAATATTTTCATTTTTAATTTTTAATATACTATATTTCTTTTAAGAACAAGTAAATGTATTAGAATAAGAACACCGGATTATATATCTTATTGTTCTTTCTTTTTATTTATATATATATATATATATACATATATATATATATATATTATTCTGGGATTATTTGCCAATTTATTCAAGATTATCTTCACCCTCACTAACCTTCTTTGTGTCCTGGAGTAAGAAGTACCTCACACGTTTCACGTACGATATCATTTTCAAGTTTTTTTTTTTTTACTGTTCTTTGGGCTGCCATAGATGAAATTCTTCTCTCATGTCCGAAACGTCTTCTGGATTATGTTGAATCATTTCTAAATGATCTCTTTAGGTCTAAGCCGAAATGATGCCCCCCCCCCAACCTTCTTGTTGTGATCTCCTGATCCAGTTTTCCTCTTTACTGTTCCCCGCGGTCTTCAACTTATTCACCGTTCTCTTGATGGTTCTTAAATTGACTTTGAAAATAAAAGTTGGTACGATTTCTGAATGCCCGAATGGTTTTTCCTCTCACCATTCACCTCTCAGTTAGAAAGACAGTGGGTCTGACACAAAATAATTTAACCTATACTCTCTTTTGCCAGATAACTCAAAGAGTCTTTAAGTGATTCTTACGTCAAATGGTGTGAAGATGGCTAAATGTCTTCTCTGAAAACCTGAAGAAAAGAAACAATTAGTTTAGTCGTTTTTTGTTGTATTTTTTTTTTTTGTCTTTTGTTTTTTACTTTTTAGATATTAAACATTTTAGGGGATGAACAATTTTGGTGTTACACCATTTTATATATATATATATATATATATATGTGTGTGTGTGTGTGTAGTTTTAAGGTGGGCTATAGTTATGGGATAAAGTGCTCATTATCAGAGATAGAGTGCATGTTAATATAAAATATCAGACCTTATGACTGCCTCTAGAATAAAAAAAAAGCCTGTCCCTTTGAGTGCTGAGTTCAATATTCATCTCTCTCTCTCTCTCTCTCTCTCTATATATATATATATATATATATATATATATATATATATATATATATATAATGTGTGTGTGTTAAAATATAGTTTTCAGATATGCTATAAAGTTAATGTGCTCAATATCAGTAAATATATATATACATATATATATATATATTATAGTCTTGGTGCATAATTATCAGGCGTTTTTCAATAATATTTATTATAAAAAAAGGATATATAAAAATTCAACAATAACGTTTTTATATGATTATCGACACGCATTTTTATACCCTAAAAATAAAATAATATTTTTAGTAAGAAAAGTAAACAAAACAGCAATTTTTATTAACAAATATCTCGCCTCTAAAAACGCCTGATAATTATGCACCAACTCAATATATCGAGACAGAGAAATGAAGAGTGTGTGTAATAAAGTGGAGTTGCAGGTAGCATAAAGGCTATCGTCGCAGAGAAATGGTATTGATGAGATGTGTTCAAATGTTGATAGATTCTGTTTAATTCAAATCGCAGTATTACCTTCGGAAAGCGTATGAATCCATCTTCTACGCAGTACGGAATAAATTGCCGGACAGTCTGGGCTTTACTGGCCTGCATGGAAGTAAATCGAAACGGAAAATCCGAAATACCATCCGTATGGTGGTTGGCTGTCAACACAGTCTTAATTCCGGCTACCCCCTGTACAAGCACAAATGTAACGCCCCGCATTCTCTTGTCGCTTTCGTCAAGAATTGTTATTTTTGTCTTGGCTGCACAAACTATCTGGACACTGTCTGATTGCACAATGATCTCAACAGACAGAGTAATAACGCAAGCTTTTTTAACTTCAGATCAAGAATGTTATTTGAAAGAAAAAAAAAACGGAAATAAAAAGCAGGACAATTATCAAATGACAAAAAATCGTTTCTGAGTCAAAGGAACCACGCATCCTTCAGGTTAATAAATTAATTATTTGAAAATAAATATTTAACATTTTCCAACAAACGGGCCTTGTTCCCACCGACAATAATAATTAAAAAAAAAACAAGCTTCGTGATCCCTTTGAAGATTATTTAATTAAAGACTTTACACGGACAAAACCAGTAAAGAGATAGAGACGGATACACGCAACATCAGTTCACGACAGTGTCTTCAAAGAGATTCCTTTACTCATTCACCTGTCTTTCTAACCAAGCTACGTGACACTTACACTTTCCTCCTCACTTTCTGCCTTGATTCTTTTTCTCACCCATACACGCAAAGAAATCACTTTTTTGTCATATTAACAAACAACATAAACAAGGAACTACAATATATCTTATGGAAACATTTAATTTTAGAAATACGAAAATAAAAATATGTTTTTATATTTAAAATCCTTTCTCGCACTTTTCTTTTTTGTGTGTTGATTCAAATCCGCAACAATCCCTAGTCGCAGTAAGCATGGCAGAAACAAAAATACACAAAATAGGCGTGAGGTAAGCATCATTAGAAAAAGGTTGCTACAACCCAGAAGAATATATATTCTTATGATTAGTAATAATAATTGCTTTGATAAGATAGCCGCCATTGTGGTGTTAGTGTTAATAGCCTTTTTTTGCCGTAGAAATACGTTAAGTTTAAGACATAAAAAAGATAAATCGTTCTATGGAGTCATTTCGAAGATTAGACGAATCACTAAAAGAATGACCCCGACATTTTTTTAAGTGCAGTCAATAACCGTGCACTGCATTTGTCTGCAAACGAATGACTTTTTCTCTGACAATTGACAGGTAATTGAGATTTTTCGCTCTCAACTTCCTCAAAGTGTCACGCACAAGACTCACTGATGTCTTGCCATTTTTACAATCGTTTTTCTAATGGCTTTAACGCTTTTTTTACTCCTTTTCCTAAAAAAATCATATCTACATGAATACGCATTCTCTCTATCTTCTGTATTTAACCGGTCTCTCTTCCTCTTTTTCTTTTGTAATCTCTCTACTTCTATTTATTGCTTTTCCTAGTACACTCTCCTTCAGTCTTTCTCTATGTTACTCATGGCAGATCATAGATAACTATTGTAGCGTCCCCCTTTTCCTTTCTCTAACTCTAAACAGTTCTTCAATTTTTATCACACATTGAGTGCTGGCAGTAATAATTTAGTGCTCGATATACAATAACAGAGCTAAAATTCATACTAGTGATAAATATACACTATTTTATTCCTCATTGGTAGCACAACTCGAATTGCAGGCTGAAAGTTTTCAATCAGCATCTGACAGCGGCATCGTGCATGAAACTCAGAATTCTGCTACTACTGAAGAACAAAACACACACACACACATATATATATATATATATATATATATATATATATATATATATATATATATATATATATATAAAATTATTAAAAGCGGAGACTTTAGAAACACATGGTAATATTTTATTTCTTGAAACCGATACTTTGGTTTCGTCTCATCAGATCAAAATCTGTTTCAGGAATAAATCTGGAACTGATTTTGGTCTGATGAGTTAAGCACCAAACTGATCAACTGTGAAAGAATAAAAATCTATTTTTATAGAAAATTGCCAGCAATATATTTTTTGAAAAAATATATTAGCAGCAAGAGATTTATCTGTCGACAAATCCCTTTTCACAAAAATACATCAATGAAACCTGATCTACAAACTGATTTCTTATAAAGAATAATATTCTATCCATACGAAGCTATCCTAAAACCTTTTCTGCATTAAATAACCCATTGAACAAAATAAACTAAACTAACTTCTATTTCGACAAGTCTATTGGAATATATTCTACACTTGATTATTATATATATATATATATATATATATATATATATTCAGTTTATCGTAGTGAAATGCATAGAAAGCGTGTCAAACAGACCACGCCCTTTTTTTTTAAGTTAATGTTCTTCTCACTAGTGTAGTGTTCTTTAGTACCACATATTAATATTGAGATATACATTTTCTTGCACCTCTCACTATACATAAACAAAATATATACATACTGAGATACATTAAAAATATATTAATGCCGTGACCAAAAATTTCATTAATAAGAATTTCGCAGATCTACGTCGGTAGATGTTAATCAACTTAGGCACGTGTACTCATTAATTATTGTTTAGAAAAGGGAGAAATAACATTATTAAAAGAAACACGTGTACAACCAACTCTCAGTTAATATCATTTCAGACTGAAACCTGTAGCCATATTTGGCGACCAATATAAGAGAAATCTTAATTCAAATCTCAGCAAGCTGAAGTTTTTAAAAGATTATTAGATACTGGATTTGAAACACAAAAGCATGATAGATTTCAATAGAAAAGATTATAGGAGAGAGATTATTCCCAATACTGTTGATACCAACGATCACTAGGCGTAAGGAAGATATAATTTTTCATGTTTATCCATTTGTGTGTCTGTCTGTTCAAGTAATGAGAAAATAAAAATGAAGCATGTTGTTTTGAAGTAAATTATTTCTGAGAGAAAGGTACCACAAAATTTGATTACCTTCGTTTGTCCTTCAGCGAGACGAAGCCAACGATATGATAGATGTCATCATTTTTCTGGCCGAGTGCTTGGAGACATTGAAACAGAATCACAGAAACACAAATAAATGTCGCCAGAACAAAGTTATGAATCGAGCATTTCAGTGCGACGTCATTTTAATAAGCGGTCAACTGGACAAGATGTCTTTTCGCCGTGATTCTGAGCTTTACAAGAGTGACCATCTGCTTAATTAATCCTATTCATTGAGCTAAACATGGAGACACAGATTTGGCATTTGGTCGAAAATCTCTGCCAAATGAATGGATGAGAAAATGGACGAGCCGGAATATCTTCTTTTGGTGTATATATATATATATATATATATATATATATATATATATATATATATATATATATATATATATATATATATATATATATATATATATATAAGCCAACAAGAATTAATTTTGGGTTAAAGATGTAATATCAAATTAAAACTTAGAGATAAAGCGAGAATCAGAACTATCTATATATATAAACAAATAAAACGTTAAAAACGCTGTTTAAAAATGTGTGTGATATAAAAGTGAAACCTGTTTCTATCCAGCGTCGAAAGATTTTATTATATAATAGTTGGCCACTCGTATTCGAGGATACACATCTACTAGGGCGACTAGCCAATCCCTATTATAGACGTTTGCTCAGGTGAATTTGCTATTATTCAACAACCACACGAGCCTACCAGTGGTTATACTGCAACTATGCCGTGCAGACTTTAGTTGGAGTTTCTGTGAAAGAGCGTGTTATCTAGTGTCATCAAATATGTGAACAAGTCCAACACGCGGAAGCCCACTTTCGACTTCGTGCTAGAGCAGCAATCGACGGGCTCCAAGCGTTCCGTCTCCCCAATTTTCATTCACATGGCTTGGGTCAACCCTTGGTATGATTTTCATGTATTTCCAAAGATGCCACACTCTGGGATCGATCTCAATCCAACCCGATATATCAGAAAGTCTCTTTCCTGATAAATTGACCATGGATCGGGTAGAATGGAGATTGACGTGTTTTATTGGACTCAGTAGTTTTCAATCTGCTTGTCTGGATTGCCTTCAAGAAGCTAGAGCAAGATCTAAAAGATCAGCCAACCTAAGTGATCTCATTCCACAATCCTCACTGTTGCTCCATATGCGGCGTCCTTTGTAAATCACGAGCGGGTCTTAAGTGCCACTTACGATCATCGCACAAAATTTAATGACTGAATCAACTGGTTTAGTTGTCAGATCCTCATACGTCTAAAACGACGGGAGAATCCATTTTATATATACAAAAGATATTTACAAGGTTGCTGACAAATATATGACAGTATATATATATATATATATATATATATATACAGTGTATATAGTGTAATTAAATATATTTATATAATTATGTGTATATTGAGATTGTCTTCCTTAAAAAATCACGAATGATCATTAGTAAAATGGCAGTGTCTGATGGACGAAATTACCAAAACTGTGGGTGTTGAACAAATACAAATGTACCTAAGCAGGCGATTAACTAGCCTCTCCAGTAGTCGGGCGTCCTCGGATATGAGTGACAAGGCATTATACTGTATATGTTTGGGAAGAGATAACCACACTTAAGAATTTTTTTTTTTTTTATTTTCACGATGCTTCGGAGAATTTTCCTGTATATATTTAAATATAAATTGCTCAATGTTTGAGTATCTTAGGCTTCCATATGCCATTATCAATTTTTTTTTAGTCTGTTTTTAAAGGAGTGTCTCATTACGTTAATGTTCGTGTTGACGTGTGGTCTTATGTAATATATTTAGTATGTTTGTTCCTATATTTGATAAGATTTTATTGCTGTTGAGTGAAAAAAATAAAAATAAAAATCCGTAACAAATATTTTCGTTTTTCATTAATCAAATTATATATAATGGATTCTCAAGTCGTCTTCACCATACGAGAATCCAATAGTTCAGCTCTTAGAAGCAAATAGCCAAACTACCTCGCATATATGATTTCATTAGGGTAGTGAACGCTTGTGTGAAACCATGAATACTTTTCGGAAGAACAGAATACAGAGAACAACCTCAGCAGCTATCTTCAGGTGTTGCATTCAGATTTGTTCTTCTACTATACTTTTATCTATCTATGCGAAAAAGCTTAGACATATATATATAAAGTGCGTAGGTATGCAGAAAATAGAAAAGAACACGTTGGGTGCAAGATCCGGGGTTCCTTAGTATTTTTTTATTTTTAATCATATTTTTAAACAAAAAATATTATTATAATATATATATATATATATATATATATATACTCTTGTTAAAAATACAGCTATATTTTTTCATGAAAATAATAAGCGTAAACTAAGACTTCTTGATATCTATATCTATATTAAAAAAATGAAATAAATCCATAATAAAATTAATTATACATAACTAATACTTTTAAACAGTTTTTCTTTTCCTTTTTAAAAATTACAATAAATTAGTTACCTCCCTTGACGTTTACACATGAGCCTACATGATAGAATTTTAAATTAGGTTTTTAACTTCCCACATAAAAATCTAAATATTCCGATGAACCCAAAAAATGTTTGTCTTAGGAAAAAACAAGATCCTGATGGCATTGTGCTAATGTCGAAAGTGTTCGTAACAAAATGAATATGCATCAACATGATAATTTTAATTTTTCCTTTTAATAAGTATACTAAGAAACGTGTCCGAAATTACGAGAGGATCCCATTAAAGCTAATTTCGTTAAATATGACGAATAAAGAAACTTTTATTATTTTTTTTATTTAGTTTTGTCAGCATTCTTATAGTTTTTTTTTTTTTTCATTTTGGTAGTAAATACCGTTCCTTATACTAAGCGCTTTCGGTCACTGCCATAGCCATTTTCAAGGGGTTTTGTTTTGGTGTTGTTGGTTTCTTTTCGTATTTTGATTATGTAATCTGTATTATTTGTGCATTTTTTAATTCTCGTAGGAGTGTTAATTCCGAGCCATCGTGTGTTGGGCATGGCTAGAATTTGAATGGGCCACTTTTCATTTTTAAAAGACTGTCATCCCTTAAAACCTTTCTCGTCTGTCATATTTAACGAAAAATATTTACAAGATTGCCTTTTAAAATATATAATATATATATATATATATATATATATATATATATATATATATATATATATTGGAGGACGCATATTTGTATGAAAATTTCTCAGACATTCAGGCCGGTAAATGTCGTTAATACTGTTTATTATAAACAGAGCATTTACTTAAATATTTGTATCTATAAAAAGAACGTATAATAAAATGTCTTAAACATAAAATATATATATATATATATATATATATATATATATATATATATATATTATTCATACTTAGTGCTGAAAATTTATCGACTAAATCAAAATGTGCTTCCCTCCCAAAATTTGGATGTTTGGCCATTTAGTTAGGTTATTATTATAGGAGCTAGGATAATTATTGAAATAAAAAGGAAGTCAATCTTTAGAGACATATAGAAGCGAGAAAGTATTAATCAGTGAATAAAAGAATTTAAGCTAAAAGCCATTACCAATGTATATGGTATAGAAATGTATTCGGCCAGAAAGGTGAGATTCAAGGGAAAGCGAAGCAACTGATGGGGGTGTGAAAAGGTAATGGATTATAGATGAAAGTAAATGAAGGAAGCCGAGTCTTCGAAATATGGAAAGAGAAGGAAAAATGATATGGCGATAGCCATTAAAAAAACATATCAAGGAATTTTCAGAGAAATTTAAAAGTAAGAAACATTGACAGATTGATGTGAAAAGATTGAATAGATGAGTACGATCAGATAGATATAGAGCTACGCATATATATATATATATATATATATATATATATATATATATATATATATATATACGGACAGAGATAGATACAGAGATACGAACAGAAATAGATTGATAGATAAAAACGAACAGAATGATAGATAGATTCGAACAGAGATAGATTGACAGATAGATAGATTCGAACAGAGATAGATTGATAGATAGGTAGATTCGAACAGAGATAGATTGATAGATAGATAGCTTCGAACAGAGATAGATTGACAGATAGCTTCGAACAGAGATAGATTGACAGATAGATTCGAACAGAGATAGATTGACAGATAGATAGATTCGAACAGAGATAGATTGACAGATAGATAGATTCGAACAGAGATAGATTGACAGATAGATAGATTCGAACAAAGATGCAGAGATAGATAGTTTCGGACAGAGATAGATACATACATGCAAACAGAGAAAGATACATACATAAAGAAATAGATACATGCATACATACAAACAGAGATAGATAGGTAGATACAAACATCCATAGAAAGAAAGAAACAAACAAACAAACAAGCTGAGAAAGGAGATAAAAACGAGGAAATGAATTTTGTAAGAAGAAATGAAAAATGTCAGCAGAAACATGTTTCGTGAGTTGTTGTGCCGGAGGAAGAATGATTGCTAAGAAAGATGGTTTTAAAAAGCCGGGGTGAGGGCTTAGAAGAAAACGAAATATAAAACTCTTATTTTGAGAAGAATGAAATCGAAATTGGGCGAGATTTTGACGGACCATGTTTTTTTTCTCACGCAAGAAATATAGAATGAGCCTTGTGTTGTAAAAGACTAAAGAATTTTTTTTGGAAATGACATTAAAAAAGAGTTATTGAAAGAAAGATCAAAAGAAAAATTACGCATGGAATTAATGTAGTTTTGAATGTAAAATAATGACGTAGTATTGTTTATGAAAGACGAGGAAAACATAAGGCAATAAAAAAAATAACTAAAAGGAATTTGAATCGGAGAGCCGAGTTCGAATTCCAGTCGAATCTACTACATTATCTTACGTGTTACTAACCTTGGGAAAGATATGAATCCTCTTCTTCACACACACACCCAGCTAGGGGTAAATAGCAGGATGGACAAGGTTCTATAGTCTTCGATGGCAATTGGTCCACCACAGAAAGAAATGGAAACCTACTGCGGGAAAAATCTGCCTCGTCAGTCATGTATCAAAAGATTCATGATCGCCTAAGCGGGTATTACGCATAGAATATAACTGACTGAATGATAATTTTATGCGTTTAACGTATAAGGAATATCGGGCATTCGTTAATCAAGCAGTTTGTACAGTATCAATTATGACAATGGTGATGATATAAAGCCGTCAAAAGTTTATGAGAAAATTAGTGATTAAATGTAAATAACCATAGAGTAAATGAAAGATTCAAAGCTGAAAGTTTTAAAAAAGTAATAAAAATATATTTGTTTGAAATTTAAGCCAAAAGAGAAAAAATAGAAAAGCCAAAGTAAGTTAAAAATGAAATACTTGAAGTAAGTGGCAAGGCAACAGCAAAAGTAAGTAAATTTAAACAAGCACGAGAAAAATATCGATATTTTATCTATTATCTTCGGATTATTGCTCTTTCATTTGATGTCGGTCATCTTGAGCAAGGGCGTTGGAATAAAGCGGATGATACAAGCAAAGAAACAATCGACTGACAAGTCGGCTGCAGATGTAGCATAAAAAGATATATACTTATAGATGCATATATATATATATATATAGTTTTTCAGTTTTAAAATTCCAAGCGGAAATCACAGAATATAACTGTTCTATTCCGTATTCGTGTGGATCTGTATTCCTTCTGGCCGTTGCGTACATTACCGGATGTTCGTTTTCTCTGCTTCCTGTATCTAGAATGCCAAACTTATAATTCTTGCCGGTCAATATACACTTCCTTCGTCCGTCGAGGCCTTGAATGTTTCCGCCATTCTTTCGGCTTTCACGAAAAATCCGAAAAATCCGGTTTTAGTCTGTGCTATTTTGAAGCGAAATGCCGATAATCCACGAGAGAGTAAAACTTTGTAACTTCGGGAAATGCGTACTCAGATGCATAAATATATGTGCTGAAAATATAGGGAAATAAAATATATATTATGCATCAACACACAAGTGCGTGCGTGTATATATATTTGTAGAGTGGGGGCACCTCGAGGCGGTGTAATGGTTAGCAAGCTTGTCTCGCTAGAACAATTACAACTGAGTCATGAGTTCGATTCTCACTGAGTGCCCCATACTTTCGGCCTTGTGCCACGTCTAAGCTACGCTTGGAAAATCACTGTATATTTGTAGAGTGGATAAATGAAACGGCCAAATATAAGCAGGCCTTTACGCGTGTGCATATGCAGTCAAGTAAATAAAAAAAATCGTTAAATTTATACATGAGGTGTACACGTAATTGTGCTCAACGCGGTTATATAGAGCAAAGATATGTATTAATTAGGGCATCTACGCGTACCTACGTTTTTGGCGTGCGACTAATGTTTCGCATATATATATATATATATATATATTATTACATTTACTCGGGCGGTGTGAAAAAACACAGATAATGCCCTTTTGTTATTTACGAACAATTTTCTTGCTGTTATTATTGAAGTACGAGTAAATCGCCTTCTGATCCATATTATTTATTCCGAATTCTTAGTACATAATACGATGCCATCATCAGGCTGCTGTTTATTACAAGACAAGTATTGTAGTGTTCATTATTTTTGAAGGCAAAAATTATTCGAAGAGAAATAATCTGGAAGTAAAAAATATTAGACAAACTGATATCAGGGAAAAAAGTTGAAAGAAAAGACTAAAATTTTCAGTGCCGCTTGAAAAGTCATCAACCAGTACCTGAATGTCTAGCCAAAATAAAAAATAAAAAAAAACAACAACAGAGTAATCTAAGTTAAAACGCAAAAGTGCTCAATACATTAAGTAGAGCAAAACTAATATATATATTATAGGTAGTATATTTTCATTCAAACAGGTTTGGTTAAGTAATTTAGACATATGTCAATTAGTTTTTGTTGTGATCCTTTCAAGTTAGCGGATTAAGTAAGAAAACTACCAAAATGTTGTTTTGAATGGTTTTTATTTTCCCTAGTACTTTCAGTCTCATATGAAGCCATCTTCAGGGTTAATTTGATTGTGAGTATGCATATATGTTTCTTTGGATTTAAAACATTTCAACTGTTCATTTTTAATATACTGCTTACGCAGCGTTCTAGATTTCAAATTTCAAAGGTGACGTGTTCTTTTAGGGGTTTTTTCCAGTATAAGTGGTGTAACTTTTATGTTTTTGCTCATACATATATTATTTTATTTTGAAAACTAATCAACGTAATGGGTCTAAATTATATATATATATATATATATATATATATATATATATATATATATAAAGAGAGAGACAGAGGAAAGCGAAATTTATCTTTTGTCCCTTGAGAGACATTGTCAAGGCAAATGCCTCAGAGGACGGAAAGCGTCGGCTAAGATATGTTTCTTATGTCATTTTTTATATTGTCCTTTTACATATAGATTATAGCTGAAATGTGTACACACCCACAAACCAAACTTCCTATTAACACAGAAGCAGTTCCAAAACTCCCAAAGCAATCCTATCACCTTACATGAAGAATTACTCTCTATCTAAGATGTCTACATAGATGACCTGTCCATCTCTACGGACGGATCTATAGATAATGATGATGATAAAGTTGGATGTGCAGCCGTCCGCCACAAATTAAAATTTAATGAAACCTTTTCCAGACAAAGCTTGCATATTGAGTGTCGAGTTGACAGATATCGACTTGGCCCTCGACAAAGTAAATTCAAGCATAACATTTATGATACAGACTGACTCGATGTCAATAATTCTACCACTAAAAACCAAAAAAAAAAACATCTCAAATCCACTAATCATTAAACTACTCAGCAGGATCAATAGATTAAATAGGGAATTTGTTTTCTGCTGGATTCCAAGCCATATTGGTCTCACGGGGAATGATAGAGCAGATTCCACAGCAAGAAAAGTTTCTATAAAAACACATCAGCCCCCTTAAATTCCAACATCCCATATACAGATGTGAAACCAACTATCACTAAATATATTAGCGGGGAGTGGCAGAATCTATGGAATTCTTGCCCAGACAATAAATTGTACAAAATTAGACAAAGAATGGTAATTGTATATCTTAAAAAAGGATGATTCTATGGTTTGTGTTGCATACCAAGAGATGTTCAGCATAAAATGCATGCTGACAAGCTGCAGCAATATTAATTTAATACACTTAAAATAAGACCAAACAACAAACTAGCAAGAACTTTTTCAAAATACTTATTCACTTTAAATATTCCAGTTTCTGAGAGAAATAAAACTGATTACAAAAATGTAAGTTAAAAAAAAAAAATTACTAAAATCAGTCTTACTAATGAAAATACATTTCTTATGTTTAATTACAACTGTTTGTTTGCTTTTTTTTTTTAGAAAAAACGATTTTTGAGTGATAAAGAAAATGTGTTTATATTACGCAATATATTTAATTTTAACACCGTCATCTTTCTTATCAGGGTCCATGATACAAATATTCGTTTACCCATTAATGTCCGCAGTACCTCTTTTTGAGAAAAAGGGTATTATCGATATGATTTTATTTTATCAGTTAATGCCACATCTTACGGTCAGCCATCATTCGTAGGTTGATCACAGATTATTTATGAAAATTAAAAAAAACATAGCATTCATCTATCAGACAATGTACCAGTTAAACCGCATTTCTCTATGAACCCAAATCCACACACACACACACACACATAGCGAACATGAGGAATTATATATATATATATATATATATATATATATATATATATATATATATATATATATACCTTTCTAGAGTCACACCAAGATAAGATAATTTTTAAGACGGGGATCATAATTTATTTCTAAAATAAAATAAAATACAATAGTCTCAAACTGAATAAAATAATATCTTAATGTACATTTCGACAAACTCATCTTCAGAAATTGATATCATCGGTACAAAATTTTTTTCTTTTTTTTTTCAAAAACCGGATTTTGAAATAGAGCAAAAGCGTGGGGGCAGAAAAATATCAAAAAGTGCTAGTTGTTTTTTTTTTTAATTCTCTCTCTTACACAGGTTGGGATGTTAAGGGGGAATCTCGTCTATGCCCTGTACAAAAGAGAGAAGAATTTCTGAGAATCGACAGGAACTGGAGGTATTATATCTATATAATTCATCCAATTCCCAATGGAGAATCTTTTGACATTGCATCCAAACGGAATCGCACCAAGCTTAGCAGAGTTTGTACACATTATTCTTCTCTTCCTTTTCTCTTTATTCTTTCTCTTTTTTCTTTTTCTTTATTCTTTTTTTCTCTTTCTTTTTATTCTTTTAGGCTTATCAACATTTTAAAACCAGAAATATTTTTGTATTGTAAGAATATTTGGTCAATAATATGTTTTACTAATACAAGTCCTACTAATTAAAACATAGTTGGAGAAATATAGGTCAATGGTATTTGCGCTGAAGGGAATATAAGGAATATGGCTGGAATTCGCCTCTGTGATTTCCAATTTCGAAGAGTTATCTATTACACCATCTCCACACACAAAGTCACAGCACCTGGTATTCCGAAGCAGTCACTCATCTCGGTATTAACTGGGCTCGACGTTGCTTAATCTTACGAGAACTGGTGTTCAGAGAAAAAAAAGCTCG